TTCCCACAACCCTTTGCAACGAGTGGCCTATGATTTGGTTGGCTCTTAGGGGAACGGGGGGGGATAAAAGCGCAGCCCCCAAACCTCACAAGACAAGCTCCATTGGTAACCACAAAACCAGCGCGCTCAGGACCCTGCAGCCAGCGAACCATTTGCTTTTCGTCAACGTCAAGCTGAAATTTACAAAACGAAAAGGAGTGCGCGGCCTGCGGCAGCTAGTCGAACCCTTGCCACTCGCTCTGCTCCGAGTCGTACTCCAGCTCCGCCCCGATGCAGCGGACTCCTTCCAGCAGCATGGGGGTGCTGTGGTGGTGACGTCTCCCTTTATTTGTGAATCGACGGGGCCTCCGCGTTGGGCCCCTCGGTGCTGTGCATTTTGCCTAGCAAGAGACAGTCCTGACCCCACGTGCTCACAGTTCCACCCCTGGAGATACCGACGAGCAGGTTAGACATTGGTCAGATGCAGATGGTGCTCGGCCCTGCCTGACCAATAGGGTTGGGTGGCATTAGACTAGCACGGAGGGGGAGGGGGGCAAATACCGGCCCACAGGCTGGAGCCCCTCGGTGCTGTGCATTTTGCCTAGCAAGAGACAGTCCTGACCCCACGTGCTCACAGTTCCACCCCTGGAGATACCGACGAGCAGGTTAGACATTGGTCAGATGCAGATGGTGCTCGGCCCTGCCTGACCAATAGGGTTGGGTGGCATTAGACTAGCACGGAGGGGGAGGGGGGCAAATACCGGCCCACAGGCTGGAGCTGGTCCACTAGCGCCTGTGGTTCTGGAGGGAGTTTCAAATGGTTTGTGCTACCCCCGTGTAATGAATCCGGCCCCGATTCGGGAAGGCCCACGTGGGCGGGTTATAACCGTACGTAGTTCTGGTCAAGTCCGGGGGCCGACGCGCATGCTTAGAGGGAGGCCCCTGCCTGTGTCCCTCCCTGAATCCTGGCTCTATGTGGGCGGGAAGTTCTCCAATGAGGACGGGGGAACCTGCTCTTTCCTTCAAACGCTTCT